GTATAAGCTATTTCACACGTTTGTAATTTGGCTCCTATTTTTGTGGCTTGTGGACAGCAAGTACTTGGTGTTCTAGTCCAAAGCCCAGATTACATGCAAATAAATGTATATAATCATATCCAAAGGAAACGAGAGATGCTTAACAACAGTTTGCAGTTAGAATTGAAAGGAACTTTGATAAAGGCAATCTCTCTCTTTCTCTTCTTTCTTTTCTGGCATCATGTAATTTTAGAAGTACTTGCGTGACTAAGAGGTGGCAACACCCCGTGATTCTGCACTGGATTGTTTGGGGCTGAGAAAGCCCAGATCATATTCACTGTGTAAACGCAATCACACCAACACACTGACAGGTGCTCTGGTATTGGAGCTGATGTTCCAAAGCGGGCAACCTTATGTTGTAAGAGAACTCTAAATAGAAAGTAAGAAATTCAAAGTTCTGTACTCAATTTCATTTGTTATATGGGCCATTAACTGATAGTATATCTCAACTAATGAAACCCAAAAATAAATTGTCAACGTCGATTTTCTTCATCTGATCGTTTTCTGCTAACTTTGGATATTAAACCCTGACTTCATAAGTAAAGCTCAGCCTGATGCTGCAGCACAGCTACACCCCATGGAAGAAAGGAGATCAAGGGAGAACTGGAGAGTTTCCCTTCAGAAGCTGCTAAGTCTGGTTTTGCACCTGTACGTCATTTGCAACCACAACATCATCAAAGGAGTAAGACCTTACATCTGTGGGGCGAAAAGCACTGCGGTGGTTCAGAACCACCGAAGAACACTGAGCTTTGTGCAACAGTCCTGAGGCACTTAAATCGCACTTTTTCTGGAAGGCTCCAAAAGGGATCCACTTCACCATTCCAGGTACAATAGGGAAGTACTGGAATTAGTAGAGAAAACATGCCCTTGAAGCCTGACAAGGCTCTGCTTGAATCCTGCTACAGCATTTACTAGCCGCTAAATGGACCAATTCCTTAACCCCTCTTAGAAGGCTTCCCAATCCGCAAAAGGGAGCTGCCACCGCCCACCTGGGAGGCATGGATGTGAACACAACACGCAAGTAGGGCGGCCGACTGGTACCTGACACGGGGCCTGGCTAGTTTCCCTCCGCTGACCTTCTCCCTCTTTAAACTTGCACTGTTCCCCCAGTAAGGATCAAGCCCCCGGAACAGACTGCCCGTATCTTCTGTGTATCCCCGGATACATGCCTTACGCTTAGGAGGCCAGAATAACTGCCTCCTCCCCAGTCACTATCAATGTTCTTAAAAGTCTGGGTATTTTTAACTGTATTTTT